CCCCAGGAGCCCCCGGTGCCCCTGGAACCCCAATTTGTAGTGCTCCTGCCACCCAGCATGTCCCCAGCTGCTGGCCCCCAGCCCCCGCAGCCTATCAGCTCTGCGGTGGAAATCCGGCCCCGCTCATTGGCAATGGGCTCATTTTACCTAATTTAGCCAAAGTGTTATTGGCCAAGAGCTGGGGATCAAAGGTGGGTCTGAAACCAGGATAGAAATTCAAGCCCTCCGGGGAGGGACAACAGAGCCTTAGCAGGAGGATGGCTCTGCCCCCTTGCAGCAGCAGCCCCCGCCTGGGGTGGCTTAGCAAGGAGGGGGTTAAAAATAGCCCAGGAGCCATCAGCATCCCCCAGACAAGGGGCCAGGGCTTCCCTATGGTCCACTCCCCTGACTGGGGCAGGTTCCTGGCATGGAGTCCCTGGTCCAACATCCCCTCCCTCACCCCTGCAGTACCCTGGGGGGTCCTGGGTCCCTAAAAAGTCCTGCGCTGCTGGAAGAATGGGAAATGTGCCCAGGTGCCCCCTCAAAGGCTCTGGCTTCACACGGTGCATCATATGCCAGCCACTTTGCCAGGGTGTGGATGGGGCTAATGGCTTTGCAGACATGGTGGCCAAGTAGCCTATGCCCCACAGTGCTCTGAGGGGGTGTCACAGGGCCTCAGGGCTGCAGTGGAGTCAGGCTGACAACACCCTGTCCTGCAAGATCCCAGGACTGGGGACATCCAGGGTTTTATTGTCTCCTGATTTTCCTGGGAACCCCATTCCCTGGGTGAGAGGAGGCTTCCCCAGGTGAAGAAGCCCCCCAGACCCACCTGCTCTCAGGGGGGTACAGAGGTCCCTGTCTGAGCCCAGGCAGGGTGCAGGGTGCCGGAGCAGAGGGCAGCGGGTGAGTGGGACGGAGCGATGGCAGCAGCTGGGCTGGTTTTTCAGTATTAATAGACATTCCCAAGAAAGCGGCGAGGAGGGAACAAGCATGGAGCTAAATAAGGCTGAGATGACGGCAGCCGGGGTGAGAGCAGCCCAGGGACGTCTGGGGGGGTTGCAGCTCAGCAGTGTCAGGAGCCTGGGTGTGGGGTATGGGGGTACCACGGTGTTGGTGTACGGGGTTACGGGTGTACCGGGATATGGAGGTACTGGGGCATCGGGATGTTGGGGTATTGAGAAACTGGGATATGGGGATATCAGGGTATGAGGGTGTCAGGATACAAGGATGTACGGGTACTGGGGTATCAGAGTGTTGAGATCCCAGGGTATCGCATACCGGAGCATGCGGGCACTGGGGTATCAGGACCTCGGGGCCCTGCAGTACCAGGTGCTGGGTCAGAGGCTCCTGTGGCCCCAGGCGGGCGCACCTGGGGCTGGGCCAGGACAGGGACACCAGGAGGGATGAGCG